AGCCTGGAGGAGTTCATGGAGGAGCTGGCGCCCGCCCACTGGCCACCTGGCAAGCGAGTGGCTTACTGCTTCGAAGCGGCAGCTCAGAGGAGCGCTGACAAAAGCACTTGTCCCATGAAGGTGAGTTCCTCCTGCAGCCCCCCCCCCGGCCGTGGTTTAATCCTCCCGCTGCTCCGAAGGGAATGGCTGACTCGCTCAGGCCGGCATTGATGTGCAAATGTAGGATTTATCCACCCTGAATCCCTCTCTGTGGCCTTCCTTTCACCACTTATCTGTGTGTCTCCCTGCGCCTTCACGCTTTTCTTTGTCAGCAAAGGCCCGGGGTTCAGGAAGGTCTGTGCAAGTAGGTTTTATCGCTTAGGGCTGGGTGGTGAGCTTAAGGAGAACAGATCTGTAACGACACAGCTTATCTCCTGCTGCTCTCTGCCCCTTTCGCATCTGTGGTACAGCTGTCCAGCTGGTTTTAAAGCACCCTGTTTTAAATACAAGTTTGAGAGCTGTTGTTTTCTTGTTCTTTTAAGACAGCCTTTGCATTACTTCTCAGTAACTTTCTCTGATGTGTTTCACTCTCCTCCTCCTGTGGAGCTGATATGTGGCAAACAGGCTGCTGCGTTTGGTCTGCTTTCTTCCCTAACAGAAAAACTCTTCAGCTTGGCACCCCGGGATCTTGCTAGGTCTGCCTTTCCAGCTCTGCGTGTGCGCTGAATGAACACTCGTCTTTCCTTTGCAGGATGGAAATCCATTTGGTCCCTTCTGGGATCAGTTCCAAGTGGATTTTGATAAGTCTGAGCTCTTCAAGGGAATCTCCTTCAGTTCTGCGTACAAGGACCATTGGATCCAAAGGTAGCGAGAAGATGGAAAAGTACTGGCATGCCACTGCAGAATAACTCACGAAAACAGTTGTGCTAGGCACTGTGGAAAGCCTTTGCATGTTGGGGGAGAGATTGACGTGGTTAGTTAGCAATATAATTAAAAATCTTACTGTTCTTTCCATTAAATATTTGCTGAGCACTGTCTTCCTGTGGGCAGTATTAGGTGTGAACACTGTTAGGCTGATTGATTTCTCAGCCAGTAATATTTAGTTACAGTATTTATTGATTACGTATGTAATTATTCTTCAGAAAGAATTGGGTTCTCAGTTGCTGCTGATGATCTGTATTTTGCTGGTTGCCTCATGTTTGCGGAGCCCCTTTAGTCGTATCACTAAGTTTGGGTGACAGAATTGCTCTAGTCCGGGGTGGAAATGTAAGCGCTTGTTGCTTGGTAGCTCGTCGCTATGCATATGAGTTTCTTATCTTTTGCCTGGCAAAATACTAATTCATGTGTTACCGGGTCTGGGGTAAAATGCAGTACCTGAGTTTTGCTTCAGTGTTCTGTTCACGTGGCAAAACAGTTAAAATTCTTCTTGGGTAAATTTGGAGCAATAGATGCTGCATGTTTCTGGGTGTTCATAACTTCTGTTCCAGCCCTCACGGTAGTCTTTGGGCAAGATGATGCATGCAAGGTTAGGTTATGTTTGGGTCTGCTGTGGTTTTGTTTGGTTTATTTTTTTTATCCCCGTAGGTTTCCACCATCTGAGCACCCTGTACTCGCCTTACCTGGAGCTCCGGCCCAGTTTCCAGTCTTAGAGGAGCATCGACCTCTCCAAAAGTATATCGTGTGGTCCGATGAAATGGTGAAGAAAGGAGAAGCCTACATTGACTCTCTGCTGGTCAGACCCTACGTAGGAATTCATCTGCGGATCGGCTCGGATTGGGTACGGCTCCTGTGTGAGGCTGGTTGCTGTAGCCCGAGCGGCTGCTGTAGCGTGGTGGCGAACGCTCTGTGGAAGAAGCTGCCGAGGAGGAGCTGTGCTTCTGGGGTGGCAGCCCGAGCCCGAGTTGCTCAGCAACTCGCCGAGTGTCAGCAGCGCCGTTGGGATTCCTCTTTCAAACAGGCTGTGACGCTGCTGGCAGAGGTGGGGGACGCGGTAGCGTATTCTCACGCTTGCCATTCAAATATATGATATTTTCTCTTTTCTTCTTCCAACAGAAAAATGCTTGCAACATGTTAAAGGACGGGACGGCTGGGCCGCACTTCATGGCTTCACCTCAGTGCGTGGGCTACGACCGAAGCGCTGCGGTCCCTCTCACCATGGACATGTGCCTGCCAGACCTCAAAGAGATCAAGCGTGCTCTCAAGCTCTGGGTGGAAAAGACAGAAGCTAAATCTGTTTATATCGCTACTGATTCTGAGCCCTACACACAGCAGTTCTTCCAAGGAAAGGTAAGTCTTTTGGAAACCCGTTCTGGCAGGAGTGCTTTAATAAAAACCTTCCTTGGATTCTGGCCCGTTGCTGCCACGGGCAGCAGGCAGGCAGTTGTGTAATATGTTGCTCACGGACAAATATTGGCAGCTCAAGGTAAATTTTGCTCAAGACAATAAAAATTGGACTGTAAAACTCTTCCTTTCCTAGAGGTTGAAGAGCATTATCCTGCATGGTTGTAAATTTCTCCTTGAAAAAGATTTCAATTAAATAAACCTAAGTGATTTTCAAAAATGTTTTGACATGTATCTATTCATAAATGAGTTATAGGGCAACTTAAGACAGAATCTCCTCTCTTCTTGTTGTATATTCCCATTTCTAATACTATGCCAAGGCATTTGCATTGTAATAATAGATGACTGGATTCATTTGCTTTCCTTCTTTCCCTGCAGATCAAGGTTGTTAGCTTGCAGCCAGAAGTGCCTCAGATTGACTTGTACATTCTTGGCCAGTCCGATCACTTTATCGGGAACTGCGTCTCTTCGTTTACTGCCTTTGTGAAAAGAGAGCGTGACGTGCATGGAAAACCCTCTTCGTTTTTTGGCATGGACCACCCGCCAAGATTACGGGATGAATTCTGACCAAAAGAGGAACAGGCTCCGTAGTTCTCGGGGCTCTGAGCTCTGTACCTTGGCGAGGGACCACTCGGTGCTAACAGCGTTCTCCTGCCTGCGGAGCGTGCTGCCAAGCTGCCGCAGAGCCGCTTCAGCGCTGTGATGCTCCTCACAGTCGCTTCTAGACTGTTCTGTCTGACTTGTCCTGTATTTCCAGCCTGAGGTCAGGCAGAAAAGAAATTTTAAATCATGTAGTTTTTAAGCTGTAGTTTATGTAGCTCTCCTTTCTCACTACTTGGGGTTCACCAGCAATCATGACGAAGCAGCTGCTCAGATTTCTTCTTCCCCGTTTTTTTTTTCCGTTAAATTTAAATTTTACCTGGAGATGTTGTGAAGCTTCTTGTCCAAAACTGACCACAAGTTCTTTTTACATGCAACATATTGTCAGGAATATCGCGGTCCCTGGAAAGGGAGTGCAAGGTAAAGCCCAGGTCTGGAAATCAGCTCTGGGTTTTATCGAGTACCGCTGTTGCCTTACTAGACCCGTGTCACCTCAGTGCCTCAGTTTCCGTTCCCCGGTCAAAAGAGATTTCATACCTGCTTTGCGGCAGTGCCGTGGGGCACCTGGATCTCTGCAGCGGTGCTAGGGAAGCGCCGTGGGCACGTATTTCGATGTGGCAGCTGCCTCTTCAGCCCGGCTTTGCATGGAACTGGGGAGGAGGCGTTGGCAGGCGGGCGGTCTTTCACCGCCCGCTGAGAGTTGGAGATTTAGGGCTTGTAGCTTTGTAGCTGTTGGGTGGAGGTCTGTGGTAGAAATGAAACTGGTTTTGAGGTAAGACTTTTAAAGTAGCGGTGTAGGTGTACATTGTACCTAGGTCTGTGTTAATGGTTTCTGTTTTCTTGTTTGTTTTGGTACTTTGTAAAATAACCCCTCTGACACCGGAACCCCTGTCCGTGGGGGTAGGTCCCACTGGAGGTAACTGCGGAAAGCGTTCGCTGGTGGTGAAACAGCAGCCCAAAACCCCTTAGTTGGGCCCAGTACAGTTTAGTGTTGGGAACACTGATAATCCCGATGTGGTGAGACTCAACTTGACCAACACCTTTTGGTGCTCCTGTGACTTCAGTTTGGTTTTTTTTTTTGTCGAAAGACTGAGTACAGAACTTACTGTTCCTTTCTTAAAAATGCCGCTTAGGTGAGTCTGGTGCCGGGGCTGGCTGCCTCTCGTGCACTGCTATGGACTAAACAACGCTGTCTCACAGCATTTATTGGGGCTTGACTCTAAATGTCTTTTTGGTGGTGAGTTTTTTTCCTCCTTGGAAGCATTCCTCAGCTTTGAAGGAATTTGAAGGCTCAAGGGAGTGAGCAGAAGAGGGCTAAATGAGAGGGTACCCCCCATGTCAGGGTGGCGAAGGCTTGTCTTGTTGTTTCCTCAGTGCTGGCTCCCAGAAATTCGTGGCGTTTGGTGGTTTCGGGGTGGCTGGACACGGGTGCGCTCCTCCGCGTTTCACTCTGCTTGGTGATCCCGGGTGATGCCGTCGGGGCTGCCTTGGCCCGCTACCGAGCACGGGCGGCCTTCCCGCATAGTGCTGGGAAGGCAGTGCATTAAGAGAAAATGTTGGGTTTTTCTTTTA